AACCCACCTTTTATTCTTACAGCAAACACCACACTGCTACACTCTTGTTGTCATAAAATCAGTCTTCAATACAATACATAAGTACTGATTTGATTTGAACACTTCCGCACTTTTCAAGGTCAGCGTTTATTTTCGAATTATTGCAACGGTCGTTGACCTTAGACCTCGTCCATAACTAAATATATTTTACCACCTTTATATAATTTATTCCTAATAATTTTGAAGTATAAACTAATACTATGTCTCTTGCAACTACTAGGTAGGTATAAACATCATCTATTTTCATAGCGCGGATGAAGATAGGTAGGTACTTCATTGCGTAAGATCGCAAACTATTTTTGTACTGCAGAAAGCTATCAGCTATTCTATCAATCCGCCAAATTACATTGCGGACATAAATCGGTGATTATTTTTAAGTTTTAAAGTGTCTCTTAGTATTTACTGTTGTCCACACTTACAAATATCATATCTACAAATAATTATCTACCTGTACCTATTTGCAATTTTATTTTGTAGATGGTTCTGTTCTTATTTAAAAAAGATGCCACTTTAGTTTTCCCTCCTGTGTCGTGGGTGCGTTTACAAACATACAAATTCACATACACAAACCACCCAGACCCGAAACAACAATTTGTGAATCACAGTGTTGTTCCGTGCGGGAATCGAACCCGCGACACGTTGCACAGCAGCCAGTCGCCCAGTTACTGCGCCTACCGTGCAGTCAATGTTGTATTCTATTTTATTTATTTAAAAGCTTTCACGGGTTTCTATGCAGCCTTACAAGTCTAAAAATCTTGAAAACTACTTACTTATCGTACCTACATAACTGCTCACTTAAAGTGTGTGCACTAATAGTGCCTAAGAGTACATACGGTGATGAAAAACACCGTGAGGAAACCTAGACTTGAAATAAGGATATCTGGGCAAGAAATAAGTAATATCCTGGAGTTGCAGGTGCAAAAAATAATGTACCATGGCCAACTTGAATTACGGTAGCTTGTCGCCCGACCAGAACCAGACCCGAGCGTACGGCACGTAGCGTTCCGCGCGCGCCTCAAAGAGCCGATAGACCACCACCGACGGGGCCCTAAAGGGCTGATGTTCAGCCGGGGTTGCGGGGTAAGCGATGAGGCACCACGCCCTTGGCGTAGAGCAGGAGAGCAGCAGTAGCAAGGAGGGGTTTTAGTCAGTAAGAGTCTGACAGTCCCTTCCGCCCCACCCTTTTTTTTTTTTTTTGTGAGTGAAAAATCATCAAATGACTTCTCCCGCCCAGGGCCGGGCAGGAGGGAGTGTCAGACTCTTACTGACTAAAAACCCCCCTGTTCCTTCTCCTGCTCTGTGCCGAGGTCGCGGTACCTCATTGCGCTTACCCCGCAACCCCGGCTGAACATCAGCCCTTTAGGGCCCCGTCTGTGGTGGTCGAATGGCTCTTTGAGGTGCGCGCGGAACGCTACGCGCCGTACGCTCGGGCCTGGTTCTGGTCGGGCGGCGAGCTGCCCTTACTCGCCGACCGCAGGCCCGTGCTTACGGTGGCCGGAGATCGTCCCTCGATCCCCGACGCCCGTAGTGTCGCCAGTTGCGGCTGCTGGGGCGTGAGGAGGAGGATTGCTCCCTCACGCGGGCCGCCTCTCTCTTTGCGAGCATGACCGCTTCACAAAAGGAGGAGACGGCGTCCCAGTTCCTCTCACTCCGCACCATGGCCTCGACTAAGGCCCGGCGCGAGAGGTCGCCGCCGCCGATCACTTCCCTGAGGATACGGCGGTGCTCAGCCCAGGCAGGGCATACCGCTACCGTATGCTCCACCGTATCCTCTAGGTGGTCCTCACAATGACGACACTCGGGCGTTTCTTCTCGCTGAATCCGAAACAGGAACCTACCGAAGCTGCCGTGCCCGGTAAGCACCTGCGTCAGACGGAAGGTGAGGACGCCGTGGCGTCTCTCAAGCCACTCCTCAAAGAGGGGCGCTGCTATGGTAGCGTGCCCGGCCCTCGGTTGCGACAGTCATTATTTCCACTCTGCCATGAGATCTCGCCGGAGCTCATTCCGCCACGCACTAATTTGGCGCGGCAGAGGAGCTTCGCCCCGGCGACGCGCGTCTGCGCGCAAACTGAAGACGCGCGCGAGCGCCTTCGCTTCTAGATCCCACGGCGGTGATCCGGCAAGGAGGTTCGCCGCCTCCCCGGAGATCGTGCGATACCCGCGGATTACTCGGATAGCCATGACCCTCTGGGATGCGACCAGCGTACGAGCCGGCCGCCGCTTCAAGTCCGGCGCCCACACAGGGGCACCGTAGAGGGCCATGGATCGCACAATCCCCAGATACAACCTCCGGCAGGAGGCATTTGGCCCCCCGAGGTTGGGAAGGAGCCGCTTGAGCGCGGCCCCAGACCGTTCCAACTTAGGGGCCAAACGACGAAAATGCTCCGTGAAGTTCCATCGGCTGTCGAGGACGAGACCCAGGTACTTCATCGCCGACTCGACGCCGATGGTAACTCCTCCTGCCGTTATTTGGGACCCACCTGGAGGTGGCGCGTTCCGACGGCCATAAAAAGACATGGCCTCGGACTTGTGAAGCGCCACCTCGAGTCCCAACTGCCGGATCCTTGCAACGACTGTCGCGACCGCTTGCGACATCAGGTCGGCCGCCGCCTGATGTGACCTCCCATTCGCCAGCACCAGCGTGTCGTCAGCATAACAAACAATGCTGACGCCGCTCGGGAGGTCGGTGCGTAGCACCCAATCGTACCCGATGTTCCACAGGAGAGGTCCCAGGACCGATCCCTGTGGAACACCGCGCGACACCTCTCGCCGATTCAACACGCCCCGGTGACCGGGGTAGATTACGCATCTGTCCGTCAAGTAAGCCTCGACTACACGACGGAGATAGGCAGGCACCCGGTGATACCGGAGTGCCTCCAGAATGCAGCTCCAGGGCAACGAGTTGAAGGCGTTGGCGATGTCCAGAGACACCGCCACGACGACTCGCCCCCTGGCCAACGCAGTCCCCGTCGTGAGGTCCCTCACGCGCATGATGGCGTCCACCGTAGAGCGCCCTCTGCGTAAGCCGAACTGGCCGTCCGCTAAATCCGGCCCCCTTCCAGACAGGTGCCCGACGAGGCGGTCGAGAAAAAAAAATATTTGATTTTCCCCTCACAAAAAAAAAGCTTGGAGCAAGACTCTGATTATTATTAATGAAACAATAAAAATTGTTATAAATAATAAACTTTATTGTAAATGTATTTTCAGTAAATTAATTACATTTCGGTAGAAAGGAATGCAATTTAAAGAAATGCAAAATAAACCTGTATCTTTAAATTATTGAAAATTAAAATACTCGTGAGACAATTTAATATTATATTTAACGGCTTACTCGATTAACTTTTTAACGACGAACTCAACTCAACTAAGAGCAGATTTTTCAAGTCCGATAAATGTTAGCTAATGAATAAAATTGTTGCTGTCACTGTCTTAAACAAACATTCTGACCAGACAGCATCATAATGATTTCCCAGGTAGGTAACTATTATCTAACCATTGAAAAATCAGCCCTAAGTAAATAAGCCTTTAAACACAAAATATAACTAGATGATCCGGCGAACTTCGTACCGCCTCAAATGTAAGTAATATTAATTTCATTTTTTTTTTATTTAATTATATTTTTGTTTTCTGACCTTATAAACCTTCCCTGTAAATCCAGGAATATTTCAATACCACAATAAGCCATGTCAGTCCAGCCTTTCTCGAGTTTTGGCGATACCAACGAGCAACAATTCATTTTTTTCTATATAACAATATGTTAACGGGTAAAAGAGCTGTTTTATGGCAAATATACACATATAAATGTATTATTTCAATTAGATTCTATTTTGTTCAACATAATTCGGAGCCGTCAAAGCTAATAAATCAAAGAAAATGTAACACGAACAAAAAGTTCTTATCGTACGCTTTGTGAACGCATCAAAATAGCACAAAATATACTGAATCTAAGTCTCCATCACTATTTGTACTGTGTCACAACTAAACAAAATACTGCAGGATAAAAAACGGAACAAAATAACTTAAACATGACAACCTTCTCAGTAATTAAATTAAACATAAATCAATTCTCTATCTAAATACATAAATCCGTGTTTAAAGGTACTTAGAAACGCAACCACGATATAGAGGAAAGTTCTAGAATCTCGATCCTCATAAAGGAAAAGATAAATTTTCTATTCATTTATGTAATAGATACCATTTTTTCTTTTTTGTTGAGCTGATGAGACACACAATATTGTAGTTCATTGTAAGTTACGCTAACTATACTCGGAATTTTAATTCCATTCCAGATTTGACAAATTCAGTGTTGCAACGTTATGACACGTATTAAATAGTGACGTTTCGAAATTATTCGATGTTGAAATCGAATATTTCTGAATCGATTCCTTTCGTTTATAAATTTATTCTCGTAAACTAAGTTTATCAGGAAATAAAATATTTCTGAACCGATAATTTAGTTTTGACAATTTATTAACGATCTGAGACTTTTCTTTTGTAATTGTGTGTGAAATTAATAAAAAATGTGATCATGAAGGAACATGACAAATAAAACAGAAAGTTTATAAATTGTCGCATCATCGCTATCGCTATCGCTGTTACTTTCTGTAACATTTATTATGAATCGTGTCTGTGATTTCTATTCTCAATTAACATATCTAGCTTACTCATTTTTTCCTCTTCTTTGACAACATGGGATACGCATTTAGACCATTCGGTAGCCGTAATTTTTTGAATGCCTTCCTGAAACTGATTCACTGATTGTTTATCGATTTTTGTGTTCATCACTACACTTAACAGTGTATCATTATTTCACAAAATGACAGTCATGTCAAATCAGGAATCGAATTAAAATTCTGACTATAGTCACACAATCATGATATCCTAGTACAAAAGGTCTTTTATAAAAAATCATTGTTAAGTTTTCACATAAAATTTACACAATATACTAATATAATACTAAAAGGGGTCCTTTGGTGCCTACGGGGCATTGACCTTTGTGTTCAGAATCTGCCAGAATATCATCCAAATCGGCAGAATTACTGAAGTCGTTAGGTTAAACAGCCAGTTCCCGTACAACTGAAAAAGAAGAAAGATTTAGATTTTATACAAAAAGCAATAAGGTATATTTTACTATATCTCAAGTTATGAAATAAGACATTTTTCTCCTATAGTAGGACAATATAAAAAGCTTGAGAAATCAAATCAAATGAATGAAATCCTATCAAACTACTGCAGGAAGAGTTCCAATCAGGATTATGTACTTATTATTATTATACATGTACATCTGCACTGTTTATGTGTTATGCATAAAATAATAAAAGGCCATTAAAAAACTAATTCTCAATAAACCCTCAAAACATTTTTAAAGGGTTTTTGAAACTGGAACTGATAAAGCTGTGTTAATATAAATAAGATTTAATATTATTATTTTTATACCATAGATCGGCAAACGAATATACCTACGTACAATACCGTCAACGTATCTTGGCGAGTCTGAAGTTAGCTGATTAGCTGCGCAGTACACAATTTTGTTCGTAGAAGATCCATTGCGCAGACAAACAGCTAACTTCAGACTCGCTAAGATACGTCGGCCGTACTGTATTGATGGTAAAGCAATCAGCGCCGCTATGAACACGCGTAGTGCCAAAGGAGTTACTACAATTGCGTTGCCGGTCTTTTGCAGGTTATAATGGATTAAAGGATAGGATATTTGAGGATTGAGAATGCACACGGCGAAACACAACGAATTTCAATTCAGTAGTTTTTATGTGATGGGTCGGCAAACGAGCAGACGTATTACCTGATGGTAAGCAATCAGCGCCGCCCATGAACACCAGCAACAACAGAGGAGTTACGATTGTTGCCGACCTTTTGGGGATAAAGGATTTGGAGATTTAAAGATTAGGGGAGGGGAATGATTGGGCGTCCGATAACCTCAATCACACAACGTAAATTTAATTCATTAGTTTTTAAATATAAAATAATAGAATCGCCCTATATACTGACCATGGAATCGACGACAGAGAACATGATCCCCTGCATGGCGGCGTCGGAGCCCCGGCTGAGCGTGGCCAGCCAGCTCTCCTCGGGCACGAGGTGCCTGCTGTACGCGATCATACTCAACAGGATCACCACCAGTGGGTGCACCAACAGACATACTAGCCGCTTAATGAGCTGAAGACATGCCCTGCAATATTTCAATTTATTTTTTACATGATGCGGTCTCCTATAATAGGATGATCACACGACTTTTGAAATTGTATTTTTTTAATATTGCGCATGTAATGTGTATTCTCTAACGCCCGGTTCCTATAATTGACAAACGATCCGTTTTAGTTACGAATAGTAGTTTTATATACGGCTCGTAAGCTAAAACCGTTCCTATAAACAACGGCTCGTCGTGCAACTTACTGACGGCTTGCAACTAACGGATGGGAGGGTATCGGTAAGCGTATTGTATGGAGATGACAGTCTATGGTATTCCTATAAATATTTTAACCGTCGGTAGACGGTCAAGATGACTATTCGTAATGTCATTTGGTTACGTGCCGATGTCGGTCGGTTAGAGTAGAATTTATAAAGTAAGTTCACTGATTTCGCTTTTAAATCTTAAAATGTCGAGTTCAGATAGTGGTAAAGAAGCATTTGATATTATATCAAACTCCAGTGACAGAAGAAGATAATATTAGAGGTAACAAAATACAATAGAGAAAGAGTGGATTATTTAGCGTTGCTGGATTCATACGAATATCAAGTAACATATCGACTCGATAAATAATCATTTGAGCAGTTACTTTATAATTTAATTAATTATCTGCAGCAAGAAAATAAATTACCAACGTATTTGGTTTTTGATGTTTCGAAGTGTGAAAACGGCGATTTCCTTTGGTGGCTCTTACGAGCTCATGCTGTTATACCTAATAATTACAGAAGAGCTCCATAACATTTGTTGTCCGTGACAAGTAATGTTGATAAAATGAAAAATTCTACGGAAAGATACACAATGATTGCAGAATATTTACCCATGTAACCAAATTATCATCCAATGATGTATTAGTAGGTAGTACATGTACAAGAAGAAGAAGAAGAAACCTTCTCCTTTTTTGTTTATTGTCGTTACTTCAAAGGTCTTTTATATTTTTCAGTTTGCACTTATGGATGATGATTATCAAGATAAACAGCAGTAATGAACAGATAAATATTTGTTCTCTAATAAATGTAATGAAAAATAATAAAACGAAAACAACATAAATGTTTTATTTTACAACTGTTTGAAACATCCTAAATAGCACAAAAAAACCCAAACCATTTCAATGCCTCCATACCATTTAAATAAGAAAACGACATTTATTGAAAGTACAAACTAAATATTATTATTACAATCATTATTTTCCTTATTGGCTCCTATTTCAATATCTTAAGGTTAATGTCTGATTTTTCTGTCGTTTTATCATAGTATCTTGCAATTGGCAAATAACGTTGGAGCCGTCCGTCACCTGGTTCATTTTAATTTCTTTGGCTGTAATAAAGAAAGCTCATTAGCACATGTTTTAATGTTACAGTAATTCCATACACAATGAAAAGACAAAAGGTGTCCAACTACATATGTATGTATAAGTCACATAATAATTATGCAATAATATTTTTACTTATAACATAGTTAGAAATTGGACCTTTGTATGGGAGACACATAAACACTGTTAAATAGAATTATTTTTACCTTTGCTTTGCAGAAGCTTAGACATAGAGGTCATTCCATACATGTGTTTTGCACTTTGTTGGCACAATATCCATTTCAAACAGTGACTTCTATATAAGTCAGTTTCAAACGTTGTCGTAGGCAATAACAAACACGTATCTTGTTATCAGTAAAATTATAAATTGTAGATGAATCGAGATTGATTATTTGAAAATATATATTTGTTTAACGGATGTCAAACGTCAGTGCCAAAGCTCTTGACTATTACAACGTTCCGTTTCTATGGTGTTAGCTGCATTCAATTTGTTTGGTAAAGGACAAATGATCACGCAGATGTATGCGATGTCATAGTTTTAGTTAATAAAACTAAAAGAATAATTTGTATGTAAATCCGACTTATTTTATCTTGAATTTTGTATTATCTTTAATTTCAATTTTACTTATAACGAAACGCTCATCTGTCAATGAAGAGGACTCGGTACTTCAATAACTAACGGACGTTCGTAAAGAAAATGATTATAGGAACGGTATCTACGATTCGTATTCGGTAGCTGAAAAACGGATAGTAATGCGTATACAACGACGATTCGTTAAATATAGGAACCGGGCATATATTATTTAGTGTGACAAACCCGCCGCCAACTTTCAATACCGCTGCAACTTCTGTAAACCAGGATCTACAGCAGATACAACCATGAAAACACCGGAACACTGAAGTCTGGGGCGTCCCAGGGATATGAATGACTGACTGTCTTTGATCCCGCAATGAAATAAATCAGGAGTTATTATTTGAAGAGACGTAAAAACTAAATATATAGTTAGTTAGTTATATATAGTTAGTTAGTTATAACTAAATATAATAGTTTCCACTTCCCGAGTGTCAACATATTGTAGATCAATGACATAAAAGTTCTACCATATGGCAATAGATGGCAGTATAATTATTTCCTACAATTTTGTTTATCAATACTTAGTAGAAAAGTCGATAGATGGAGCTTAGCAAAATTCCTCAATGCAAACCTCTACCAATAAAAATCTAAACAGGTATACAGCAAAAAAGTTTTTTTTGCTGATGAACTGATGGCTGGGTAGTTTCTTTTTTGAATTCTTACAAACGTTGCCCCACACTACGATTTTCTCTTGTGTCGTGAGAGCGTTTACAAACATACAATTTCACATACTTAGGACTAAAAAGGCTGCACAGTTAACGCGGTGATTGGACAACTGGTTGTCGTCCAAAGTGTCGCACATTCGATTACCTTAGAACAACTCTTTGTGCGATTCACAAATATATATTACACTTCTTATACAGTAAAAGCTCCCTATTCGCGCTTCCTTCATTCCCGTTTTCACTATTTGCGGATTAAAAAATTGCAACCCAATTTCTATATTCGCGGCAAAAAAATTTTTTATTCGCGGATCTAAAATTTCATACAAAATTCCAATAGGTGTTTAACGCAATTTCTTTTGCAAGTGCCGTGAAATGGTACCGCCGAGCACTTTTAACCTAAGCCGCCTTTGTCGCATTTGCCGCAAACGGTCGGCGTTTTTGAAAATGTAAACAAACACAAGAAAGCAACCTTATTTCTGAAGGAATAAAGGATATTAGAAGTATAGATATAGAACATTGATCCATCTATTGAACGAAGTCTTAATTTTAGACTGCTGAGTATCAGTCTGAATTGTCGGAGCTATTAAAAACTGCTAAGCAAGAGAAAATTACAAAATTCTTCAAAACATTGCCTCAGCCTGAGGATAATGATTAATTAAAATGTTCAATAACATCAATAAAATTGATTTTCTTGTGTATTTGTGTTTTTTATTTTGGCACCTAGGAACGTATCCCCTATAAACCCATATAAATTACCATTCTGTATTCACGGTTTCTGTATTCGCGGCATATTCATGGAACATATACCCCGCGAATAAAGAGATTTTACTGTAATTCTAAAATTATATTTTTATAAATGCACCGATGGCACAACATATAAAAATACAACTCACCGTGCTTTCCCGGAGCCTCTAACGTAGACGCTGGTCATCAAAGCCAGAGGCGTGTAGACGACTGCTATAGCGAATCCCAGCGAGAAGTTGTGCATGGCAACACTCAAACACACAGTAGACAGCTCCGTAAGTACTAGGATGTTGACTAGAGATAACTCCTCGTAACTTATGGGGCCCTTGCGCAACAAGTACGGGAGGAATGGCGATGCAAATGTAAGGAATATTGCGATGCTAATAATACCGAAGTATACTGACACTTCTGGTGGTTTAGTGTAGTAGAGTGAACCTGGAATGATAAAAATATTATGTTAAACTAGCTTTCGCCCACGGCTCCGACCGCGTGGTATGTTGATAAAAGCCTATGTTCTATTCCGGAGTGTATCCTATGCCTGTGCCATATTTCATCCAGATCCATCCAGCCGTTTTTGCGTTATTGAGTTACAAACATACAAACATCGTAACATCGTAACTTTCACATTTATAATATTAGTAAGAGTATGATCAAAATACAATTATAGGTCGTCGTTTTGGTCGGGAGGTTAAGGCGTCTCATGCATGGGGGTTCGAAACCTGGCAAGTACCAATGTCACTTTTCCGAGTTATCACATCATCACATCATCAGCCTATAAGTGCTCACTGCTTAGCAAATGCCTCTTCTGACACGGAGAAGATTAGAGCATTAATCACCACGCTTGCTCAACGCGGATTGACAATTACAAACTTATAGTTACAAATTATAAGTCCAGGTTTACGATGTTTACCTTCACCGTATGTCAGTGGTGTCTAAATAATCATAGAAATTACTCGGAAGTCACATTAGTACTTGCCAGGTTTCGAACCCTCATGCATGAGAAGCGGGCTCCTTAACCTCCGAGAAATTATCAGCATTCCAAATAAATTGTCAAATTCTAAGATTCTCGCCTACTTATTTAGTTTAGAACTTTACACTTTTGAACGTCAAACAAAAAATAAATATCAAAAGTTAACTTCAGTATGTCAGTTTATCCTCTAGTAGAGCTATTTGCTCGTTCCAAAGTATAGATTCCAATAGAGAAGAACGAGCAAGAAACTCCATGGTTACTCTTTTTTATTCAATCAATTTTACAATTAATTAATTTTTGTTACATCATTTCGTCGGTTCTATTATGTGAAAACAGTGTTCTAAGGATGAATACGCTCTTTAAGTAATGGTTTTGGAAGAACTAGCAAATATTTTTTTTCAATAGGGACAAACGAGCATACTGATCACCTGGCGGTAAGTGATCAACGCCACCCATGAACACCAGGGGAGTCACAGGCGCGTTACAGACCTTTTAAGAAGGAGTACGCACGTTTCTTGAATTAAAAAAAAACATTAAAAACAAAACTTACCATAATAAGAAAACACAAATGGCGAATTCATAACGCCGTATCCGATCAAATGTACTAGGAGATAATTAACACCGATGTTCAGAACGCTCATGTTTATATCCGCTTTCTTTTTCTCTGGAGTTTTAACTTTTGCAACCTCTTCAGTTTCCTGCTCGCCTGGTTCCTCCGAGTCGGAATCTTTAGCTTTCTCCAGCTTGTGTTTGCTTGACTTTTGGTTCGATTTCTTTGCTTGCTTGTCGTTGTAATCGCCATCTTGTTGTAAAGTGGTTACCCATAAGGATAATGCTCTGATGAGCATAGCTACGCATAGTAGACATAGCGATGGCATATATTGACCTGTAAATCGACAAAATCATTTTACCTAGTCCAAAAACCATGTTTATTGGAAAAGAACAATTATTAAAATAATTTATTTAGTTAAGCATACGTTCATCCCCACTTATATTGTTTAATTTGCCGCTGAATCTTAACCACATGCTACATGTGACTGAATACGGTAGTTTCCAACTAGTCGAATTCAATACTTTTAATCCAAATGTCAAATACTATACTTTTCTATGAAACACTGAATTATGACGTCCTAGTATTTTTGATTCATATAATTTACTTATTTCTTAAAAATATGCTAATAAATATTTAAAATTTTGTATAACGATCTATCGATGAATAAAAAAAGTATAGTTAATTTTGAGTATTTAATTGTAATAAAACGTCAAACTAATTTATTTTTGACCTAGGAAACTACGTATTTATGAATGTCAGTAGCTACTTTACGTGGTAAGATCTGTCCTCCCTAACTTACTAACCCCCGGTTTCCGAAAAGCCGATCAATGTTAAATCAATTTAATATCTTGTCAAGTCATCTGATTGGTTGACTGAATCACCAACAACCAATCAGATGACTCGACAAGAGATTTTACAGGAGATTAGTTAATTTTAGCGTTGAAAAGACTTTCAGAAATCGGGTGTAAGAGCGACATCACATTTTGTACTTAAAATAAAAATGTCTCGCAGGAAACAGGGGAAGGAACAGAGTAGTTTTTACCAAGATTACTACACCCCAGAAGTCATTTTTACTTCCTTGTCGTTGTTGTCCACAGATAATGAAAAAAATACACGCGACCTAGCTCATAATGTAATATAAAACTTTTGTCTGTGGACCATAGACAAAAGTTTTCTTTTTTTTTATTAATTTATTTTAAGTACCTATTATTTGTATCATTTAGTTTAGATTATTAGTATAGTTATTTTCTTCTTTTTTATATTCTTGTTTTCTGTATGTGCGCTTGCGCAAGAAAAAAAGTAAATGTTTTTCTTCATTCTTCACTTTCTTTCTTTCGTTGAATTTGATAACCCTTAAAATTAAAGCTGTTTAGAAAATAATCTCATACTTACCAATGGAAATAAACCGATCAGTAGAAGCGAGGATATAGAAGAAATAGCTCTGATGGAATCGTTCGAGTAAATTGTTTAGCGACCGCAGTATGCTCTCCAGGGCTATTCCCAGCTTGTAGAAGCTGCACGAGGAGAGCGAGTTGACACGAGGCACTTTCCCAGAAGGGTCTAGGACATCACGACCTTCTAAGGTCACCGCCTCGATACCGAAGCGGTGGAAGAGGCCGTGGTTACCGTCTGGCACCTGGAATCCAGAATATTTCACTAATTACTAGCACCCCGCCCTAGCTTCGTCCGTTAACCTTGTTGTATCACGTCACCGCGACCTCGGCCCAGAGCAGTAGAAGAGAACGGAGGGGGGGGGGGGGGTTAGTCAGTAAGAGTCTGACACTCTCTCTCGCCTTACCCTGGGCGGGAGAAGTCATTTGATGATGTTCCCCTGACAGAAAAAAAACTGTGTAACAAAGTCAAGTATCCAAGATCCAAATATTTTATTCATATTACAAACCTCTCAATCGTGGTAATTTTAATTTGCCAAGTGTGGGAGAGCCATGCTTCGGCACGAATGGGTCGGTTTGACCGGAGTGATACCACGGCCTTTAGGAAAACCGGCGTGAAACAACCACAGCGGTGTGTTCGCTGTATAAATGAGTTTACCGGAGGTCCAATCCTTCACCTCTCCCAATCCGGAAATCTCCAAATCCTTAATAACCAAAAATTCGGCAAAGTAATCGTTACTCCGCCGTTGTTACGGGTGTCTATGGGCGGCGCTGATTGCTTACCATCAGGTAATCAGTATAATCGTTTTCTCAATTATTTCTTTTCAAAAATCGAGGCACAAGAAGTAGTACGAAAAGAGGCCTTTGCTCAGCAGTGGGTACTTATAGGTTAGTAATGTAATTTTAAAAAGTGACTTACCCCGTCAATCTGGCCTAGTACCATCTCGAACATTGTCAAGAAACCATTCTTCCATTCGTCCATACTGTTGCGGCCGCGAATCCAAGAGTAACTGTGAAATATAATTACCTACATTAAGTTGGGCTGATTTTTCAATGATTATACTATATAAAAGTTACCTGAGGAATAATTATGATGCTGTCGCGTCAGAATGTTTGTATAAGACAATTTTATTCTTCAGGTAACATTTATCTGAGTATTGAAAAATTTGCCCTTTATGGTTTAAACTTTGGAGCGACGAGCGACTTTTGCCTAGCCATAGCTACACCTTACTTGATAGGAAGTAGTTTTGTCAACCTATTTTTCTATTTTTATAAAACACTAGCGGCCCGCCCTCGCTTCGCACGGGTCCAACTATCTCGCTATCAAAGGGTTACTTTTTCCTAATCTTCCCCTCTACTTTTCTAATATTTTTATATTGATAAGAACCTTCTCCTGACAATAACAAACTCAACAAAAAAAGAATTACCAAAATTGGTCCAGGCGTTGTTGAGTTATGCGCTTACCAACACATTTTGCGATCCATTTTTATATATAAGAAGATTGCGCCACATTAGTATTTTCTCCTGTGTCGTAGGTGCGTTTACAAAAATAAACAAACCACCCAGACTCGGATCAACAATTTGTGGATCACAAAAAGTGTTTTTCCATATGGGAATCGGACCCACGACGTAAGTAAAATCAATCTATAGTTCTTACTATTGTTTGAACAGTAGCATAAACTTGACTAGTGCAATTAAATACCTTTTTCCGAAAGAATGATTTATGTCCAGCTTCTGACACAGCTTGTGTACCAAGTTAACAAGATCCAAATTAGGCAGCTGACCATTCAAGCCTTCTATTTTCACTTCTAAATACTCTGGAATAAACAATTAACAGCTTTATTACAAAACAATGTTTTTCGTTTTTGGTGAGGGGAAAATCATCAAATGACTCGGGAGGGAGGAAGTGTCCCCCCCCCCCCCCGTTCCTTCTCCCGCTCTGGGCAGAGGTCGCAGTGCCTCATTGCGCTTACCCCGCAACTCCGGCTGAACATTAGCCCTATAGGGCCCCGTCTGTGGTGCTCTATTATTGGCTCTTTGAGGCGCGCGCGGAACGCTACGCGCCGTACGTTCCGGTCTGGTTCTGGTCGGGCGGCAAATTACCTTTACTCGCCGTTACCTAGAGTGTTATTTAAAATCGGCTGGGCGCATAGAGGCTGAGGCTGGCCAACAAGCCTGCTGTCCGCAGACCCGCGCTTATGGTGGCGTCTCTCGATTAGTCTACTTCTAAGTGTCAGTTTTTGTATTTTAAACGTAAGGTAGGTGAGAATAAAACTCAAAATACAAAAGTTGACTCAATGGTTTAAACCTATACTAAAGATAAATCTTGTTTTATAATCAGGTTAAAAGTCTGATAGATTCTCTAAACTTATCAAAGAATATTTGGAACAAGAAACTAGCCTTGTTATTTCTTGTTTTATTTAAGTCTTTTAAATTAGAAGTATTAATTATTAATTTAATGAAATCCTTCGGTTTTAAGCCAACAACATTTTATTCCATATAATTTATGGAAATTACTTCGTAGAATCTTCTATCTTGTAAAGAAAGAAAATCATGAGCGGTTAACAAATAACTAAGGTTAACGTTACCTTATGTACCTAAGGTATATAGTATAGTATAGTATGTATACATGACTTACAGAGGGAAAATAATAAAAGTTTTACATTTGTTTTGTTATCTTATATAGAGTGCAATGTTGTAATACTATACAAAAAAAAAATAACTTTGTTATAATCATTATTAATTAATTTATTACTTACTCATTTTAGGTGTGTTAAATTCCAAAAGGATAGCAGCCTGAATGGAACCAGATCTTCCTTTCAACGTCCCTGGGTTCAAAGCCTTCTTGTGACGCCCTTTTAACCTAATATTAGAGAAGAAACTCTCCATATTAAACTTAGGAGTACCAGGCTTCCAGAAACTACCAAGACTAGAGTGAAATGGCTCAGCTTCATTGTGCAAACCATGGTAGGCTTCCAACCACGCCTGCATTCCTAGTTGGTCGTGTTGTGTGACTAGAAAAATGATATCTTTGGCCCAATATTTTTGCGCTGAAAATCAAACAAATTGTCAAGTTATTACATAATCTACGTAATATATAGTAAAACAAAGTTACTATCGCTATCTCTATATCCTTAGATATTTCGCTTGAATCTTTAAAAACACGCAACGGATTTTGATGCGGCTTTTTTGAATATAATAGAAGGGGAGCCCATGAAGAATTTCGGTAGTTAATCGAGCGCGTCAGATTAACATATGGGGAATATTTAGTAACCTATTGAATATACCCATCATATACTTAATGTAAACAGAGGGGGGGAAAAAATAACTAAATACAGTCGTTTTCGTCAGATTAGGAGGGAAAAGGTAGAGGTCATGTCGAAGAAAGGGCGTTTAAAAAATCTGCTAATTTCATCGTGGTTTACAACAGCAATAGAGTTTTGGACGGGTCCCGTTTCTATCCCCTTAGTTAGCCAACCCCACCAGGCAATTCGGCAGATTAAAATATTTTCACTGTCAGAGATACATTCATTAATAATATCTGTCACGCTCGTGCACTTAAACAAAAGTTACACCTTACAATTTTGGAAAACTATCATTCTCCCCTTCCCCCACCGGAGAAATGAAATGTCATTAAGCCATTTTTTCTTTCTATCACCAAATCTTCAGAATCCAGTTATTCCCTACGACGCTTGAGTAACTACAAATTTAGCATCCTGGGCTCCCCTACTATAATAGTGTTACTGAAGAGGAAGTTGTATAATACCGTCCATTAAATAGTGTGAAGAATATTATCAACATTGCACCCGTGGGAATTCAGGGCAAACTGGTACTTTACAAAATAAAAATTGGGTTGTTTCCTAGGTCAAAAATAAATTAATTCGACGTTTCAATACAATAAAATATTTAAAAATAACCATACCATTATTCATCGATCGATCGATACACTAAGTTTTTGATATTTTGTAGCTAATTAATTATTAAGGAATAAGTAAGCTATTTGACACAAAAATTCTATGACTTCATAATTCAGTTTTTCAAACAAATTTCATAGAAAAGTATAGTTTTTGACATTTGGATAAAAGTATCGTTATTGACATTTGGATAAAAGTATCGAATTTGACTAGTTGGAAACTACCGTATTATATTAATATAACTTTATTTTAAGATAATATCACAAATGATGAATATAAAATACTCACGTCTTGCAAACTTAGCGAAAGCTAACATAAGAGCTATGCCGGCTGCAGTTGACTTCTGATGAGAGCCGATAGTTCTGAATGGACATGACACCACCAGAGCCTCAAGTGATGATGTACGAGGAGCCCGCAGTATGCCATACACATTGGTGCCTCTGAACACCTGTAGCAAACATTAGAAGTGTTAAATTCCAGAAAGATAATGCCACAATACAAGCCTACCTACATAAAATTGTAAACAAATATTTATAACAGCCCTCCTCATAATTTATTATTTTTGTTAGGTCCGACAGGGCCCACAATGCTCCTAAACTAATGTATGTAATGTACATACATCCTTATGTACCTTACCACCTAAATTCACATTGAGGAATGCAATAAATATATTGAGTAATCTGCCCGCACTATGTCATGGTATCGGGAAAACAACACAGAACTTTTAGCAGCCTGCCCAGACTCCAGATATGAATTCCGTAGAACATTTATAGGGTTTATTAAAGCGTAGAGTTATATATACCACACAATCAACCTTCAACAAGGAAGATTAAAAATACTGACATAACCATCTTAAAGCCTAATTTACTTTGGCATAAATTTGACTTACATAACATTACTAACAACTATACGTATGATAATATTTTGGCATACAATTAACAAAAGTTAGGGATAGAACGGAATTGCTGCAAAACCGACTCCACATAGTCTTGTTCATCCTACCCCTTTTTTTTGTCACAGGATAGGAAAGAGTGTCAGACTCTCCGGCTGAACATCAGCCCTATAGGTCCCATCTGTGGTGGTCAATTGGCTCTTTGAGGCGCGCGCGGTACGCTACGCGCCGTACGCTCGGGTTTGATTCTGGTCGGGCGCCGAGTTTACCGACTAACTCGCCGTTACCTAGAGTGTTATTTAAAATCGCGTAGATAGGCATAGGGGCGGTGCGAAGCCCATAAGCTGAGGAGCAGGAGGCTGGGGCTAGCCCACAAGCCCTAGCTTCAGTGGTGAGCGAAAACCATGCTAAGCACAGGTGGGGCCGGTAAATAAAAACATTGTAGGAAACCTGGACTTTAATTTATAACTATAAGTTGAAATCACCAATCCACCTTGAGCAAGATCTGTGATTGATGCTCAAACACTATCCCTGTGAGAAGAGGCACTTACAGGACGACGACAATGATGTTGCCGGTCATAAAAAAATAAGTATTGCTTTTATCTTAAATGTTTGTATGTATAAATAATAGGAAAACTTACCTGTCCTTGACCCAATGGGTAGTGAAGAGTAAAGTTGTGAGTGTAAACTTCCAAATGTATTTGTGACATCTTCCCCACCAGCCAGGGAACTGGCATGTCATCTATATCTTCATAATTCATCTGAAATAATTTAATTTATTATTAGAAGGAGACAAAAAATTATTACAAAGTTAACCTATACATATTATACAAGTTACTTATACAAAAACATTTCCATCAACTCAACCACATATTTTTAAACATGGAAATAGAATCTTAGTCTGTCAGTCTGTTCAGTGAAGCCATTCTTTCAAACTCAAGATTTATATAACCTATTTACAAAAAAAAGTTCTTTGTTTATAAGAATATTGTGAGTACAATGGACAGTCTTATCATACCGACCAACAACATATTTTGTACTACACATTTGGCAAAGACAGTTAACCCACCTATACAAAGTGTAGATTATGAACAACACTCTTATGGTGAGGATGCGCACTGACAACTGTGGGGTTGTCTGAACACAGACTGTAGATACTGAATATGATTTATAGTATTTAGTATTACTGAAATGAATTTTCAAAACAAGCCAGTGGGTGAATAGCTTTCCGAGCAATCTAAATGTAAATACAAAATTTATCACTTTCGGTTGAAGACATCAGCTTCAAAATTTCATAGAGAAAGAGTTACCTTGGTTCATCACTTCACAAACATGTAAGGTAAATAAGAGCTTGTAATAAAAAATATAAATTCATATCGTACCTGTAATTCTTGTACTAATTCATTGAAATATTGATTGGCAGTCTGCTCTGCATTAAATTCGTTGGTTACCAACCCAGGAAGTAAAGCATTTTCTGAGAAATAAGTCTCATTGTTGAACTCTCTATGGCCTAACAGGGCAAACCATACCAGGGCACCAACATAACATAGGAAGCAGACAGGACCGTGGACTCTCTTCAGCAACCTCACCCACTTCACAGAACCAACATCAGGGTCTGATAATAGACCCATTTTGCTATAAACCACTAAAGGAGTTCACAGCTTAAAATACAGCAAATGGATTACAAATTTTATGCTTTTTTAGTCATTACAATTAGAAAAGAACAAGATTTTTATCAATTACAATGCCGCTCGTTCGGCTATATCTTTTATTTATCAGTAGATGTCAACTGTCAAACGAAAAATATCACTGACACTGACATTTTATTACTATACCATAGAACATTACTAACATTTTGTCTATAGATGTATTGTACTATCTCGATTTTGAGTATTTTATCAAACAAGCAAACTCTTCGCCTTTATAATAATTATGATATGTATATTACGCAGTTGAGTACATGCTGTGCCATGTGTCGTGAGTTTGATTTCCCCATTTTTTTCTTCATCAGCCCGATATCGTCCACTGCTGGTCATAGGCCTCCCCAATGGCACGCCACTGAGCAAAAAATACATTTTAAATATGAGTAGTATATAGGCCAACTGTTTCGGATCCAGCGGAAGGAAACGCCCGACCACCGTATGCTCCACCGTATCCTCTAATACGGTGGAGCATACGGTGGCGGTATGCCCTGCCTGGGCTGAGCACCGCCGTGTCCTCAGGGAAGTGATCGGCGGCGGTGACCTCTCGCGCTCAACCTTAATCGAGGTCATGGTTCATAGCGAGAGGAACTTGGAAGCTATCTACTCCTTCTGCGAAGCAGTTATGCTCGCAAAGGAGGCGGAGCGCGCGCTTGAACTATCCTCCTCGCGCCCCAGCCGCCGCAGAAGGCGACATTCCGGGCGTCGGGGATCAAGAAATGATCTCCGGCAACCGTAAACGCGGGTCTGCGGACGGCGAGTAAGGGTAGCTCGCCGCCAATGGACCACCACAGACGGGGCCCCATAGGGCTGATGTTCAGCCAGGGTTGCGGGGTGAGCGCAATGAGGCACCGCGACCTCGGCCCAGAGCAGGAGAAGGAACAGGGGGGTTTTTAGTCAGTAAGAGTCTGACACTCCCTCCCGCCCGACCCTGGGCAGGGGAAGTCATTTGGTGATTTTCCAAACCTTCTAACCAGATTTTTGTATTATTCATAAGAGAGGACATGGCTGAATTGTGCTCTAAAACAATCAAATGATGTCAAGTGTGCATTCGGCGGATTATAAGGAATCGGTTATTATTGGATGTAATTTTTCGGCGTTTATTCACATGTAACAACACAATAAGGCTATTAGTAAGTAAAGTAAGTAATATAGTCCTTGTTGTAACTTAACTTTTACTTACCTATAGTTGTAACTTCTTAAATAAATAAAAAATAACGGAATTATTATAAATTAACTTATTACAATTACAATCATAATACTAACAAAATATGGATCAGTGTTGTCCGAAATAAATGAATTTTAATTTAATTTCATTTTATTATGTTTCTCTAGAACAGACCACAGAATATCCCATAAAATATGAGCGTTATTTTTAACAATGTCGCCTGAAAGTCATAGCTGTTTACAAGCTATTAACATGATAATAATTTTATTGTAAGTTGTCGGTAATATATAAGTTGTCAGTTCACTAGCTAGGTCCAATTACAATATTAGATCAGAAGTGTGTTGAAAAAATAAAACATCAGAAAGCGATCACGGTATATTATTTACTAACTACAATTACACATAAACTGCGGAAGCAGCCGCAATGTTGCGGCTGGTGCGGCTGGCTGGTGTTGGCTACGCACACACTGTTGCTTGAAGCAACATTGTATTGCTACAAGCAACAGTGTGTGCGTAGCAACAGTGTAACGTATCAAGAAAACATCAACTTTGCAACGTTTTTTTTACATTTATACTATCGGTCACAGATTGACTGATGATTTGATAATTATGTCGTGTCGAATAGTGGAGAAACGACCTGTAAACGCCTTTGCATGCATTTCTCTTATTGTGTCATTTCAGAATTTATGATCATTGCTATTCAAAATGTTGAGACTGAAACTCATAGGTAAACTTGAACCTTTGTTGTCTATTTGAATTAAAACTTTGAATATTATTTGCATGGGCACAGTTTCATACCATGCTACCATTCTTGCCATGTCATTATAATTATGTCGTAAACCTTTAGATTTTCTTGTAATGTTTGTAATTATACAGATTTGTGTATTACCATGAAGGTAAAAGTTTTAAAATAAAACACACAGATTTTTCATTTGTTTTAATAACTTTTTTTCCTCTTATATAAATAGCCATTTTCAAAAGTGCTTTGTACCGTTTCAAAGGGCACTCGTCTTGTTTCTCTCATTATTAAATATGATACAAATGCAGTCAAGAAATTGACGGATGCGAAGGCTATGAATACTCCTGATAACCCTAAAATGTCCACAGCAGGTTTGAATATAAACAAAAGAATGAAATTCGCTATGAACAATGAGCACATGACGACGCTTGTCCCGAAACTGTTCATCTGAAAAAAAAAAGGTTTTAATTAAGAGATGTTACATTTATTATACACCAAAGAGATCTGCAGAACTAAAATGCATATAAAAATATGGTTCATGGTAAACTGCCACTGTCAAAAGAAATGTGTTCTACGCAAAGAGAATATAACATGGTTATATTCTCTTTGGTTTTACGCTACTATGTTTTTTTTTTCGATTTAGTTAAGTGCCAAATCTCCTTCCTAGGGAATCGCGATTGCTAGCACTTTCGTCATAATTGGGTAGTTTCCTAGGTCAAAAATAAATTATTTCCACTTTTCAATACAATAAAATATTGAAAAACAACAATACTTTTATTCATCAATCGATCGATACACTAATTTTTAGATTTTTTTTAGCTAAGTATCAAGAAACAAGTAAGCTATTTGACGCAAAAAAGTTATGACGTCATAGCTCAGATTTTTTGACGTTTGGATAAAAGTATTGAATTTGACTAGTTGGAAACTACCGTATTGCGTAGTTTCTACGTCAAAAATAAGTTAATTCGACCCTTCGATACAATATTATATTGAAAAATAACACCAAGTACTTTTATTCATCGATCGAACGATACTTACACTAAATTTTAGATATTTTTAGCAAATTATTAAGAAATTAGTACCTACGCTATTTGACGCAAAAATAATATGACGTCATAACTCAGTGTTTCATACAAATTGCATAGAAAAGTATCGTTTTTGACATTTGGATAAAAGTATTGAATTTGACTAGTTTGAAACTACCGTAGGTATTCTCGTGCGTTAATGTCGCGACAGAATAAAAAAAAAAAAATCACCTGGGGTGGTAAACATTCAGCGATTTGTATGAACGGTATGTTCACTGGGCCAAGCTGGTAGAATATGCAATAGAGAATCATGACTACTGGTATTCCCCACTCCGGGGCCCATGGGAATTGCTGCATACTGGCCAGGCAGGCCATACAACAGCCCGATAGACAGCACGTAGTTATCATTAGAACCTGAACAAACAAAACAAAAAGCCCTCAAAAATATAAAGGTCTATAAATGAATATATCGGTTTGTTATAATATCCGATGAAATAGGAAACAAGCAATGATTTTGAAAACATAAGTACAACCTAGCTAATTTCGCTACTGATGTTTTGTTTCATTCTTTATGAGAAGAGAGAACGGCTCGAAGTCGAAAGCTTAAAATGTAGTGTTACCACCACGCCTAAAATATCACAATATACTTAAACCGACCAAATAGAAAAGTTGTGTAGGAGAGCCAAGCTTCGGCACGAATGGGCCGGATCGACCGGAGTGATACCTTGAGGCCTCGCAGAAAACCAGCTTGAAACAACCGTTACCGTAGGCCCAATAGGTACTCTTCTCCCAATCCCTAAATCACCAAATCTCTAATCCCCACGAGGTCGACAACGCACTCGTAACTCCTTTGTTGTTGTGGGTGTCCTTAGGAAAATTGCTTACTATCAGGTAATCCGTCTGCTCGTTGCCGACATATCACGAATACCAATCTGTGCAATGAAATCAATGCCGCCCGTTAGAGTGTCGGTAGTAGAATTTTAAGATCACTTTATCTTAAATTATGTAGATAAATACATGCTGGCTTCTGCCAACGTCTTCGACGGCGTTACCCGGATAAAAAGCCTGTGTGTACTCCAGGGTAAATATTACTCTACGTCTTAATTTTCATCAAAATCCATTTAGTAGTTTTTAGGTGAGAGAGTAACAAACATTCATCTGTCCGTCCATATTTACATACTTTCGTGTGTATAAAACAGGAGAAATAAATAAAAACTTACCCGTCTAGATACTATTTCAACAAGGAATACTGCTAGCCCACTTGTGATTGTGACAATTATAGCCAATATCACCGAGCACAGATGGGGTGAGAAGCTTGGCGCTGCTTGCTGGAAAAATTGTCCAGCAAACGCCTGCACAGCGATCATACCCATAAACACGCATAAGTTCATTTGAACTAATAGAACTATTAAGGCGCGCTTTGCAGATTTTGAAGTTCCTGGAAGAATTCCCATAATTTTTAAATTGTCCGGACAATATGAATATTGCGTAAAGAAGCAATATAATATATACGAACATAATAATATTATTTAGAGTTAAAAATATTGTCTTTTATTGTTATTCTAAAATGTGGTAGCTATAGACTTGATATACCGGTCGGAATCCCTATTCCTATTTATGCCAAAGAAAAATAGTGAGAATTTAAGTTACGTGTAAAAAAACGATGTAATAATTAATGTACTTAAAAAACTCTGTTATCATCAAAACGGTACAGAAATTAATTAATCGAGTGATAATGCAATGACAAAACAGTAGTAAACAAAGTAAAAAAACATTTTATGATAATTATTTTCATATAAATGACACAAATAAGAATTTACGTGACAGTCGTACTAAAAATTTTAGCCAGGTAACATGCTGCTAAAATTCTTTGGCAGCGGCTCCGCACGGATGATCAAACTGAATCTTTTGTAACAAATGCTCCTTTTCTACTAGGCTATCATAAGACGCAAGAGCTGTGAGAGTTTTGTACGTGGTTTTGTACATAATGCATAACCTGTCAAGACCAAGTACCAATGTAATAGAGGGGGGATAGGCAAAAGGCGGGACGGTGTTGTGCAACAACGATTCATCCAACAATGTGTCGTAAGTGGAAAGCAAAAAGTTTCAATGTACTAGGATTGAATGAAACACAAAAGGTTATTATATAGTTTCTTGGGGATTTCGCAAACTAA